AGAGAGAGAGAGAGAGAGAGAGAGTTCATTTTGTGACAATGTTGGCTAAGCAATGGACTGGTAACCACAAGGTCAGCAGTTCAAACTATCCTGGAAACCCTATATAGGGTTGTTATGAGCCGAACTGACTCAATGGCACTGAACAACTATTTGTCTATCTACTTACGTGTGTGTATATATAACAAAATATTTGCAATTTTCACATTCTTCACGTGTGCAATTCAGTGATACACACTGTATACAGTCATGTTGTGGACATCACCATTATCTGTTTCCAGAATTTTTCTTTCATCACCCTTAACAAAAATTCAGTGTTCTCTAAACAATAAACCCCTCTTTCCACCCCATACCTATTCCCTGCCCTGATAAACACTAATAAGCCAGTAACATGCCTATTCTACTAGTTCACATAAGTGGAAGTATACAGTATCTATTCTTCAGTGACTGATTCATCTCATTCAGCAGATGTTTTTAAGGTTCACCCATGATGTAAAATGTAACAGGACTTAGTTTCTCTTTATGGTTGAGTAATAGTACATTTCATGTGTGTACCACATTTTTTTAATCCATTCATCTGTTGATGGGAATTTGGGTCATTTACGTCTTTTTAGCTGCTGTGAATAGTGCTGCAATAAACATTGGTGTCACAGCCACTGAATTTTAATATATTACAAAAAATGTTAAGCACAAATTATATGGGATCTTGCAGATGATTATTTGTTATAGTGTTATTTACCCTGTGTATTTTGAATTCCTTGGTAAGAACCTGTCCTAGAGGTTCATTATGACAATATCTTGGACAGTAGAAAGTTACACAAATTACCAACAACATAAAAATGGCTACACAGTTAGAATTCATGGCTTTCACAGATGCTCTTCATTTCAAGATGATACATGATTATTTCTTTTCCATTTCCAAATCTGACTAAAATGTCTTTTTAAAAAATGCATATATTTACAAAAGCGTGGAAACTTAAAGGAGTAAAATTACTGGAACGGTATTTTAGGAGGTGCTGGTAGTGGTTGTGTGCCCTGGAGTCTGTTTCTATTCATAGCAACCCTCTATAGGGTTTCCGTAGCTGTAAGTCTTTACTGTAAGTCTCATCTTTCTCCCATGGAGCAGCTGGTAGATTCAAACTACTAACCTTTTGGTTAGCATGGCAGCTCATAATAAAAAGTGATCAGATTAGACTGAGAGTGGAAACACAACAAGAAAGTAAGTAACTCAGAACCGACAAAAACGGAGACTACTTCAAGGCAGGAGAGAGGCTTTCTCTGTGGAGTTCATGAGGAATTCCGAGAATGGGGAGAATATGGTGGTGGTAATTATGTACCATGGAGTTAGTTCTGACTCATAATGACCCTGTATAGGGTTTCCGAGGTTGTAAATCTTTATGGTAGCAGAAAGCCTCATCTTTCTCCAGCAGATTAGCTGGCAGATTAGAACTGCTAACCTGATGGTCAGCAGCCCAACTTGTCACATACTACAATACCAGAGCTCCTAATGGGGGGAATAAGCAAGTAATAAATAATCAGAGAGCTATCTGTGGATGACATGGTCCAGTTTTGCTACTTTTTATGACCATAAGAAAAAAAAAATTGCCTTTTTGTCCTTCCACGAGAAGAGCTCTCTAATAACTGCATTGGGAATCTGTCTAGGATGGAAGTTATGGTTATAGACAGAAATAAAACAGAAGCCAGGTAGGAGAAAAATATCACAATGGTCACAAATAAGTCCATGAGGAAAAAGAATGTCATATCCATCCCTGAGTGAAATATTGTACTGTGCTACAATAGATTGTAAATGAGTTAAAAGGCATGAAAACATTTGTGATTGATATAAAGGCAAGAGATTGCAATCAATACATTTATAAATATGAATAAAGCAAATGACATCCCAAGAGAAAATTATAAAAGGTGCATAAACAGCAATTAAGATTAAATTGGATGCAAATGAACTAATACATACAATGCAATGTTCAATTTATGTGCATGGATTGACCTATGTATCTGGCACTAAATAACAAGGAGAGGCGCTGTGTGTGGCACTATGGGTTAATGCAACAGACCACAAAGCCATTTGAACACAAGGTCGGCGGTTCAAGTTCACCAGCTGCTCCTCGGAAACCCTATACAGGGTCACTATGGGTTGGAATCGACTCGATGGCACTTAACAACAACAACAAATATCAAGGAGTCTTGATGTGGCTCTGTGGAATAAAGCACTGGATCACAAGATCGGTTTGAACTACACGATAGGCAGTTAAAATTCACCAGCTGCTCATCAGACACCCTATACAGTGTCACTATGAGTCAGAACCAATTCAAAGGCACTTAACAACAACAGACAACATATACACACATACAAAATTACATATACACATGTACAGTGATATATGAATGTACAATATATGTACACAGTATGTATGTAACAAAACCAATATTTAACATCATAGTATCATCAATTTGTACCTCTTCTCCATTAACTTCTGTTTAGAACACCACTAAACAAGTTTTAGTATTTCTAGGTTGCTGGAATTTTCTTATGCTAAATTTCTGAAAGACTAAACTGTTCTATTTTAGTAATTAATGAGAATTTCTGTTCTGCAAAGACTGACAGTCTTGGGAACCCTTACAGGATAGCTATGAGTGGACACCAACTCAATGACACTCAGAAACAACTGATGTAATTTTTTAATTAAGATTAGATGTTTCTTAATTGAGATAAATCCTTTAGATATTTAGAATACTTTACTATAATTTATAATATGACCAATTATAACCAACAAAGAAGTCCTGAAGGTACAATGGTTAAAGCACTTGGTTGCTAACTGAAAGCTTGGTGGTTCAAACCAACCAGCCACTCCCACTAACCGAAGCATATTTCAATCAGTGTCTATAAGGGTTTACAGCCTTGAAAACTCTATGGGGGCAGTTCTCTTCTGTCCACAGAGGTCACTATGAGTCAGAATTAATTCCATCTCAATGGGGCTCTGGAGTAAAGCTAACAAACCACAAAATGTCCTGTATTTCTTTTTCAGACTAGCGAGGAGAAAGAAAGACTAAAAATGTCAACATTGAACTAATTTTTTTAAATTATCGCATTATTAAAGGAAATGAAACACTTCATTTACTTACAGCTTTAAGCCACATTGCCTATAAACTCTTGCTTGATGAATCTAACATTCTCATTGACAGTGCTTTTTTTTTAATACCATATTGTTTTTGAAACTATTTCCCCAAATTTTAAATATTAAAAATGCTATCTTTGGAACAAAGAAGTTATTCAGAAAAAAATCAATTTTCTGCTATAAAAATTAAGGAAAAATTAACTTTATGTTCTAAGTCATCTTTTGTATCCTAAACCATTCATAAATATGGAGTACTAATACTAAACACTGTTTCTAAAATGCTAACTTACATTGTTAAAGAAAACATATATTTACAGTCAATGTAGGGTAACCTGTATCTATCCTAAGGAGCATTGGTGGTGCTGTATGGTAAACACTGGACTGCTAACTGCACTGGACTGATAAAGTCTCCAGTTCGAACTCACTAACTGCTCCTCAGGAGAAAGATGAGACTTTCTGCTCCCTTAAAGATCTACAACCTTGGAAACTACACAGGGGTACCATAAGTTGGAATTGACTTGATGAGACTGGGTTTGGGTGGGTATAGGTATCCTATTCAAACATAAAGGATATATCACACAATATGCCAAATTTAAGATTTTTTAGGAATTCTAAAAATTTTAAAAATCAATTAAAAAATTTTAAAAATCAATCTTGTCCATCAACAGATGAATGGATAAACAAAAAATGTGGTATGTAAATGCAAGAGAAAATACACAGTAAGATGTATGAATCTTGAAAACATTATGTCAAGTGAAACAAACCAGACACTATGTAGATTAGTGATTATTATGGCTAGGGGAGGAGTCCTAGTATAACACTGTAGGATAAGCACGTAAGGGCAACAGTTCAAACCCACCAGTCGCTTCTCAGAAACCCTATATAAGGTTGCTATGGTTCAGAACTTTCTCCATAGCGCTTAACAACAACAACATGGCTAGAGGAAAGGTAGAATGGGGAGTTCCTGCTTACTGGATAAACAGCTTCTGTTTGAGATGATGAAAAATTTGGGGACTGACTGATTAGTGGTGATATTTGCACAACATTATGAATGTAATTAATGCCACTGAATAG